ATAGCAGACAACAGAATACAGATAGGTGAAGACAATGCCATTAACGTTCCCTAGTTTTCATGAATTTAGAGTAAACGTAATTACCGGGACATATGCCATGTAAATATAATGTGATAACATCCCCCTTTGTTCTACTCCAACAAGTGAATTGGTTCATGCATATTAATACACTTACCATTTCTTTGAAATTCACACACCTATGGCTCCAAACTGAGCTAGTCTATCAGCATCATGGGTGGAGGAGGGGTATCAATCAAAAATAACTTAAATTATTTTGGAAATTTACTTTGGATTGATATGGTGGGGTTGTCATTAAGTCATTTTGGAAATTAAAGGCCTATAGTCTGCTTCTGATTCTATACTTTTAAGTACCTAGAAAAAACAGCTGAGTGACAGGTACTGTAGCACAAGAGATAATATGACTGACACTTTAAACATCATGAACTAGTCTGCCTTTGATTTACAAGTTGTAATCAAATAGAAATAACTTTCTGTATTGTAACACACACAATACACAAACTGCAGGCAACTATCTTAGAATCAAATGTTTTACATTCCAAGATATTTATAATTACTGTTCCTAAATGCTTTCATTATTGTCTTTAAGCAATATTTTAAAAGGTGAGCTACATTAAAACAACCTGATGGCTAGATTCTGTCATGCTTACTCATGTGGAGTAATACCTTATTCCTTCAGTAGTCCTTGCTGAAGAGTAAGTCACTACTCTATCTGAAAAAAAGAAAAGGAGGACTTGTGGCACCTTAGAGACTAACAAATTTATTTGAGCATAAGCTTTTGTGAGCTACAGATCACTTCATCGGATGCATTCAGTGGAAAAATCCGATGAAGCGAGCTATAGCTCACGAAAGCTTATGCTCAAATAAATTTGTTAGTCTCTAAGGTGCCACAAGTCCTCCTTTTCTTTTTGCAGATACAGACTAACACGGCTGCTACTCTATCTGAGTTAGGGTGGAAGAATCTGGCTTTAAGGAAAAAGTCATCTGTCTTCCATACAAGCTAATTTTTCAGGCAACCCATATAATTGATTATGGCTGAACTGGATCTTAAAGTGTTTGTCTTTCTTTATTAAACAAAGAGAACATTATTTACTGTAAATTAACATGTACTATATTTTATTACACATTCACCAGCTTGCTTGTTTAGGATATGATGAAACAATTCTTATTCATTACACAATTGTAAGATAGGTAAACATGGCCACATAGTCGTCTTTCCCATATTTTGATTACAGGGATAACAACTGTATGAAAAGCTTGTGTTCAGAAAAATTCCACCCAAAATATCAATTTTCTTTTACAAAGAAAGATACCCTTCATAGTAGCAAACCATTTCTATGGCCCCAAATCTGCAAAGGCTTGCACGTATGCTTAACTTTAAGCATGCAAATAGCCCCAATCAGTGGGATGCCTTGTGTACTTAAAGTTAAGCATATACGTAGTCTTTGCAGTATTGGAGTCTATGTTTCCACAGCAGAGACATGCACAACTATGAAAAAGAGAAACGGAAGTAAATAATGAAGAAAGCTAACTATCAGAAATACTTGACTGTAGTCATAAATTGTATTACAATTATTTCCTCTTTCTCTCTAAGGAAGTCATCTGTGTTCTCCTGTGAGCATATAATTTGGAATGGTCTGTAAATTACCATAAAGACTAAATAGCAGGATGTAATAATTTATGCAAGAGAGCTCTTTAGAAACTATTTAGTTAAGTCCTACAGAAGTCAATAGGGCTACTCATGTGTTTATAATTAAGTATACTGGATTAGGGCCTTAGAACTAGGTATCTGATGCTTTCATGTTGTTATGAAACATGCTTTCATGTTAGTATTTCACTAAACAATCTCTCAGTTTAGTGAAATACTATGGTTGAAATCTTGGCTGCCCCCTCCCCCTCTGAAACTAAAGTGAATTTTACCATTGACTTCAATGGGAGCAAGATATCATCCTTTGAGTTTTAAAACGTTTAATGCGTTCATTTTTTCAACACGTAAAATTTTGAAATTAATAGCCAAATGATGCAGCGTATTTCAAACGATATATAACAAAACCTTTTGCTGAACATTAAATATATAAATCAAATCATTCTCTTTAAAGTGACTTTTCAGCTTCTGACCTCTACACTGCATATTGAGATTTTTGTTTTTTAAGTCAGTATTGTTAGTCCAAACACCAATTTCAAGCATGGGGTAAGATGCAGAGAAGACTATTGTATTAGCCTAGATTTTTTTACTATGTACTATTTGGTTAACATTATGTTTCGATAGGAAAAAGAAGAAGAAAAGGGGATGCCAATTTGTGAGAGATACCTTTTATGTTTGGGTGTAAAATAATCATGAGAGTAAACAAGATAAAATGAAATACGGGAGAGCCATTGCCATGACACAGTCAATTTTCTGTTTCACACTTCAAGCGGAAATTCATCTTCTTTGTTTTGTATGAAAACCACAGTGTATCTGCTCAAAATTTTCAACACAATCTTTGAGTAAAGCTTGAATTTTCAGAGGAGTTTCAAGAAAATTGGTTACTTAGTTTCCAAATTATTATCAATTAAGAACTGTCCCAAAAAATGTTTACTAAGTCTCATCATTTTTCAGGCCCCTCTAGCTTGAAGTCTACAAACCACAGAAAGTAAAAATATGTATGCAATGACACTTTAGTGGGCTCTCTAGGGTTATGTAATTATTTTGTTAATTAACAAAAGAAAAAGAAAATTAGTGTTTGTTGTCGCAACTGGATTCTTATGCAACACAGATAGCCAACTGTGAAGTAGGGCTGGTTTGAAGGCCAAGACCTCTAAGGAAAAGTTCAGCTGGTTCAGGAGTGAAGCTAAAGTGTTTTCAGTGGGTTCAGGAGTAAAGCTCCTGAACTGGCTGAACAGTTTTACGGAGAACATCATCTTTAACAAAGCACTACCTAGTGTGTAGACTAGAGCAGTGCTACTCAAAGTGGTGGTCTGTGGACCGGTGCCGGTTTGCATGCACACTGGAAAAAAAAATTGCCGGTCCCCCACATCAGATAGCTTGAGAAGCACTGGACTAGTGTATCCTGTTTTTTGTGAAACCATTTAGCTGGCTCAGCACAGAAGCTCCTAGTCTTTGTGAAAATACCCTCAACTCCTACTTTGACGAATAGGGTCTTTGTGAAAGAGCCCAACTGGCTGGGAAGCAGATCCCATTCTTTGTGAAAGGAGCCACTGTTGTGTCACAGATCCCTTCTTAATTAGCAATATACATTATAATTGATTTCTTAAGCACCATTTTTAGCTAATGGAAATCATGGAAAAAAGTTACCAACATGAAAAATTCACAAAGGAAAAGTTTCAGTTTTACAAAGGAAAGAGAAATGTTTCATAGATAGCAAAGGAAAACCTTTGACCATAAAACTTTGACCATCTCTACTTTTGAATGCTTTATATGGGCAATACATTACTAGTTACTGTCACATGCCTCTAGTAAAAAGTTTTCCACAGTATGCATTCGATGAAGTGAGCTGTAGCTCATGAAAGCTTATGCTCAAATAAATTGGTTACTCTCTAAGGTGCCACAAGTACTCCTTTTCTTTTTGCGAATACAGACTAACACGGCTGTTACTCTGAAACATGCCCCTAGTAATGTGCTTTCCCTACAAAACTGGAGCTTAAAACAGTAGAGAAGAGGATTTTTTAGCCTAGTAGCATTTGTGCGGCGTTGCAGAGGAAGATCTTCAACAAGACAGAGACTAATTTCATAAAGAAAAGGATCTTTGTGAAAGTGCCTCTTCATGAAAATGGAACTCCTGAGCTGGCTGGGCAGTTTCATGAATATCTTGTTTTTCATAAATGTGCCCAGCTGCCTCAGAGCAGTGCTGGCCTGTGCACTTTTACAAAGATCTTGTTCTTTTGCGAAACTAGGCACTAGTGTGTTGGCAACCTTTATTTTAACACCCCCCCCAAACTGGGAAATGAATCGTGCAAAAAATATGACTTAAGGTTGCATATATAACATACCTATAATACAAAAAAACAAGGAAATGAAAAAGGAATATAACAATATCTGCCTTCTACTCCTTCACAAAGAGATCACATTACCACTAAAAAACATACACCACACAACCTTAATTTTGCCCCAGTAGATACCAACCAGCCTTTCCCCAAATCACTCAGCAGCATAAAACAGACCCAATCTTCCTCACACTAATCACTCTGCATTGCTCTTGAAAACCAAACTGGCTCATGCTTGGGGAAGGGCAGCTGGGACGGGAGTCTGGCATCTGGATAATGGGGAAGAGCTGGGGCTGTGGTGTGCTGCAGGGCGGGTGGGTCTAGCGAGGCTGGAGGAACAGAAAGCATCCCAAGGCGGGTAGTGGCTGACACCTCAACTTTTAATTCCCTTGCTGGTGGGTTGCAGAGCTCCTCCGACCCTCCCGAGCCCTTTCGCCTGCAGTTCTCATGGCAGGAACGCCAGGCGGGCAGATCAGGGCGCTGGGGCGCCCCTTTTCCCAGGGTCCTCGGGCACGGGACCCACTGGCCCAGTGGCTAATGCGCCACTGTGTGGTACGTGTATTATAGATGGAGCCAGCTGAACACGCACCCAGCCTAAAGTGCTGTGGGCGCCACGGTTACTGTGGGACACGCTATTTCAATAAAATTAAAGGCGGACTAGTGGCACCTTAGAGACTAACAAATTTATTTGAGCATAAGTTTTCGTGAGCTACAGCTCACTTCATCGGACCGAATGCATCCAGTGAAGTGAGCTGTCGCTCCCGAAAGCTCATGCTCAAATACATTTGTTAGTCTCTAAGGTGCCACAGGTCCTCCTTTTCTTTTTGCGAATACAGACTAACACGGCTGCTACTCTGAAACCTGCTATTTCAAAACGGACCGTCGCCCCGGGGTGCAGGGCTGGGGCTGGCCGGGCCCCTCAGGGACACGCTGACGAAAGGCGCTCGGCATCACTTGTGATCCCCCGCGAGCCCGCCTGGGGCGCGCCCGCAAAGCACCTGAGGGGACGGTCTCCCGCCACCGGCAGCGACGAGGGGGCAGCACCTCTCCGCGGGTAGGTTCGCAGCCCCGCTCTCCCCGCCCCCGGGCCGTGCGTGCGGAAGTGGGCCCGACGCGGCGGCGCCGCCGCCCGGGATTGTGGGAGCGGGAGGGGACCGACGGGGAAGGTTTCCGGCGCTTTCGCGCAGACGTGTCCGGCCGCGGCCCCGCGGAGCCAGCCGCTGTCCCGGCCCGTCCTTTCGCTGCTGCCGCCCTCGCCGCCTCAGCGCGGGCCGGCGGCGCCATGTCCGGGACCAGCAGCCCCGAGGCCGTGAAGAAGCTGCTGGAAAACACGCAGGGAGACCTGCGGGGCCTGAGCCTGGAGTGTCGGAAGAAATTCCCCCCCGTCAAGGAGGTGAGGGGCTGGGGGCGCCCTCTCCTCAGGCCCTGGGCCAGAAGGGGGTGGGGCAGCGTCCCGTCTCACCCCCTGCCCAGGGAGCCCCCTCAGCTAGGCCGGCGCCTGGGAGGGGCAGGGGGGCCCGGGCTGCGGTGTGCGTGAGTGCGTGGTGGGTGTGCTGAGCCCGCCAGTGCTGGGCCGGTGCCGGGTGCGGGCTGGTAACCCGGGTTGTGTTGCTGACAGCTTGGGTCTGTCTTTGCTCGGGTTTATAAACCGTCGGGAAGCTCTGGTGCTTCGAGTTGGATTTGGAACTTTTTAAGCCTAGTCTCTGCCCAGAGGTGGGTGTTCGGGGGGGGAGGGCTGGAGTTTCGTTCAGACTAGTTCAGCAGCTGAGCTCACGTAGTGTGTTGAAAAATGCTACTTGTCGTCCCCCCGCCCCACCAAAAAAGTCTTATGGACTTTTCATAATCAGTTCAGGTGAGGGTTGAAATATGAAATTTAGCAGGGAGATAACCCTTAGAAAGGAGAAATGACTGAATGATTTGATGAAATTTGCCTGAAGCTTGCCTGAGTTATGAGGCTTTGCACATTTTGCACATATATTGTAAATATTTAACAATAGCAGTATTTTTAACAGGAGTCACCTATGGTAAAAGAAAGGGAAGGTAGGCTGCATTAGGTGCATATTGCTAATTTAGGCTCTGGTACTATGGGGGCAGATCCCTCTGCTTCCATGGCACCCCATTGACTTTCGTGCGGCTTCATATATATACAGGGTTCCAAATTCGCAGATCTAGTTGTGACGCTGAGGTGTTATCTGTGGAGTGGATGTGTACATCTCCCCAGTGAAGTTTGTCTCCAAATTCAGTGTAGTTTGTTCAGAACCACTGAAATCTTTGTCAGCAGGTAAAGTTATCCATGATGCCAGGCGCACACTAAGAGAATCAGAGCTCTTCATGAACTCTTTCTTTGGGCATGTGCTTTACGTATCAACAAGTTGTTTTCATTTCAGGTGAAGGACCTTATTTTCTTAAAAAAAAAAAAAAAAAAAGCTTTGTTTTTTATTCATGAAATTTCTACTTTAAGATAATAAATTTGGTTCCATTTTGAAATCAAAATTAAGGTTGCAAATGCAATCTTAGACATCGTCAACTTCAAAATCATGCTTGTCTGAATTTTTTACCTCCTTTCTTAACGTGTCAAGATTACTATAGCTGAAAGAGAGAGGATTTTCCTTTTTTTATTATTTTATGCATTTAACAATATTTTGTGTGTAGTTAGTTTTTCCTTATTTCACCTTGGTAGTCTGTCACTTCCCATTTTTTGTGGGTTTTTCATACACAAACAAGAGGAGGAAAAACACACTTAAAACCGTAAAAAGGATTGTAAAACCACAAAAACTGAAAGGTTGTGTTACCTGAAACAGCTAATTTCTTTTGACTACATTGACAGTGTCTCTTTAACTCTGCTTCATTTTGCATATGTAGTAATGATGTAGTCTCTAATCACATGATCATATATCTCAGATAATACCATGTCATAACAATTTTTCATTCTCATTGTAAAGTGCTTAGTGCAGGGGTTCTCAAACTTCATTGCACTTTGACTCCCTTCTGACAGTAAAAATTACTACAGGACCCCAGAAGGGGGACCGAAGCCTGAGCCTGCCCAAGCCCTGCTACCCTGGGGTGGAGGGGCAAAGCCAAAGCCCCACTGCCCCAGGCCGGGGGGCCAAAGCCGAAGCCCAAAGGCTTCAGCCCAGGCAGGGGGCCTGTAACCTTAGCCCTGCTGCCAAGGGCTGAAGCCCTCGGGCTTGGGCTTTGGCCCTGGCCCCCAGCAAGTCTAAGCCAGCCCAGGCGACCCAATTAAAATGCGGTCGCAACCCACTTTGGGGTCTCGACCCATAGTTTGAGAACCTCTGGCTTAGTGAATGAAGCAGAACTAATTGTTAAACATTTTGTCTGAAAATTAATCTATTTGTCTGACTTAGAGTAATACCCCAACATATGACATGTTGCATGGGAATCCAGGTTGCAGACATTTTTTTATGATATACTGTTTTACTTGAGAAACAATATGTGATCATATATGTTTGCATTGTTGTTGTAGTTACTTCACCTTGAATGGTATCTTAGAATATGTATATGCAGCGTCGTCCCAGGTGGGCGAGGTAATATGTTTTATTGGACCAACTTCCGTTGATGAGAGAGACAAGCTTTCAAACCACACAGAGCTCTTCTTCAGGCCAACTTCTCTCTCACCAACATAAGTTAGCTCCAGTAAAAGATTGTACGTACATCACCCGCCTGTGTCTCTTAGGTTATGTTTTAACTACTTAGGGATTATATTTAGTTGTGACGCTATGGGTATGTATACACTGCAATTAAAAACCCGCGGCTGGCTTGTCGCTTGTGTCAGCTCACTCGGGCTAAGGGGCTGTTTAATTGCAGTGTAGATGTCTGGGCTTGGGCTGTGGCCCAAGTTCTGGGACTCTCCCACCTCACAGGTTCTAGAGCCCGGGCTTCAACCCGAGCCCAAACATCTGCATTGAAGTTAAACAGCTCCTTACCTCAAGCTCCAAGCCCCATGAGCCCAGTCAACTGGTACGGGCCAGCCATGGATTTTTAATTGCAGTGTAGACATTACCCTATGAGAACGTTTCCCAGACCTGAAGAAGAGCTCTGTGTAGCTCAAAAGCTTGTCTTTTTCACCAACAGAAGTTGGTCCAATAAAAAATATTACCTCAGAGAATCATTGTGTTTGCTAATCTGTGAGGTTGAGAAACCTTGGAATTGCTTCAATTATGAATAGCTATGGCATGAGGAGGAGAGAAATCATGAAACACACTCTTCATCTCCCCCCTCACCCCCACCCCCAAGTCTTAGATGCTTTTTCACAGCATATGTAAGAGCATGTATCCTGAAGCTCCAACAGTTCAGCCAGCATCATTATCCTTTATTCTAGGCTTATACGTTTTTGTAGGAGACCAATAGAGGTGTACCTGGTGATTTACTAGGTGATGTCACTTACAATGACATTTGATTCTGGGCAAAATGGGTTGTACAAAAAAACAAACAATCAAAAATTCTAATGCCTTGAGCATACATTGGTGGCAATATTTTGGGTATAGTTAATGTGCTATACTTAACCTTTCTGTAATTCAGGTGTTCTCAAACTTCATTGCACCACAGCCCCCTTCTGGCAACAAAAATTACTACATGACCCCAGGAGCAGGGACCAAAGCCTGAGCTTGCCCGAGCCCTAGTGCCCCAGGGCTTCAGCTCTGAGCAGTGGGGCTCGGGCTTTGGCTTCAGCCCTGGGCCCCAGCAAGTCTAATGCCAACCCTGGAGACCCCATTAAAATGGAGTCGCAACCGACTTTTGGATCCTGATCCACAGTTTGGTAACCGCTGCTGTAACTGAATGGAAAAAACATCAATTTGCTATTGAAGTTGACATTCAGACTGTACCTTGTGTTTTTTTCATTTTTGGCTGTGTCATGTAATGGTTTACAAGTCTTATTCGTATCTATAGATTTACACTATTACACAGAGGTGTTTTGAAAATGAAAAATGTATTCTGAGGCCGAAGAATGATGTGATGATCATAAAGTTGTGAAATGCCTCATCAGTTTTTATTGGCAAAGTTAATTACACTGATGCAGAATTTACTCCAGTTTACTACAGAATTCTATTTCTGTACTATAGTATAGTACAGGTCTATATACAATATATATGTTTATCATTTGCTATAATTATTATTTTGTTTTTAACATATTAGGCTTGGTAGTCTTTGTCCTTTTTTGGCAGGAAGTAAATACTTAACTTCTAAATTTGGATTGAACTGCATGGTATTAATAACCCAAAACACAACTAACCACTATTTGAACCTATAGGTGTTGCAAAATGATAATGAAAATAATGCTGGGTGTTAGTGCAAAATGAACTGATAATGTTATTTGTAATTATTTAATCAGAGCGAATGATCTGGCAGCAAATAATTTGGCAGGTGTGCTACCAGTACTATAGAGTTAATATTAAACAACATGCTTATTTGGATTTGGCAATTACCACGTTTTTAGCTATTAGGGAATTGGAATTAGGAATATTGTTTTATCCTGGTGTTTAAAATAGTTATTGGATTAATTTGTGTGACCACTGACTTTCTAAGTATTAGAAGAAATATAAGAAATATAAGTTAAGCAACTTCAGCTACACAAATAACGTAGGTGAAATCGACATACTTCAATCGACTTACCGTGGTGAGTTAACTGCTGCCTCTCCCCCATCAACTCTCCCTGCACCTCTCGCTCTGCTGGAGTACAGGAGTTGACAGGAGAGTGCTCAGGGGTCGATTTATCACGTGTAGTCTAGTTTGACTCATCTAGACGTGATAAATCAATCCCCACTGGATCCATTGCTGCCCGCTGATCTGGCGGGTAGTGAAGACATACCCTCACTGAATTTCATCCTATTTTGTCCACATCATTTTGAATATGAATCCTATCCTCCAAAGCACTTTCAACCTCTCTTAGCTTGGTATCATCCACAAACTCTCTATACAATTATCTAAATAATTTATGAAGATATCGAACAGAACCAGATCTAGGACTGATCCCTGAGAGACCCCACTAAATATGCCCTTCCAGTTTAACTGTGAACCACTTATAACTACTTTCTGGGAATGGTTTTCCAGTCAGCTATGCACC